GTTTTTTGTTTTTGCTCCATTTTTAGTGACAACTTGGTGTTTGGATTTTATCCTTTGAAGTCAGATTCAAGTTTCCTTCTTGAGCTAGCACCTAGGTGTCATGGCTCAAACACTCACTGCAAAAATAATCTGCTTTCCTTTTCTTTTTTTTTTTTGAGTTAGGGTCTCACTCTGTTGCCCAGGCCGGAGTACAGTGGCATGCTCATGGCTCACCACTGCCTTGACCTCCTGGGCTCAGGCTATCCTTCCGCCTCAGCTTTTACCAAGTAGCTGGGACTCCAGGCGTGTACCACCACACCTGGCTAACTTTTTTATTTTTGTGTAGAGGTGAAGTCTCACTATGTTGCCCAGGCTGGTCTCGAATTCCTGGGGTCAAGTAGTTCTCCCGCCTTGGCCTCCCAGAGTGCTGGGATTACAGGAGTGAGCCACTGTGTCTGGCTTGGAATCTGCTTTTCTGATGGTAACCTTTGGCAGACCTGGAAGTTGTGTCACAGGTTAAATAGCTCATAAACAACATGAATAATTCACTAGGAGAAGGTGAAATGCCTCATGGACTGCTAAGCCTCTGCATGCTGTCCAGCAGGTCATTAGCCCAAGTGTTCCTTTTAGAAACCTCAGTAGTGGCTCAGCCTGGCCTGTAATCCCAGCACTTTGGGAGCCCAGAGGTTTGAGACCAGCCTGGGCAACTTGGTGGGACCTCATCTCTACAACATATCAAAAAATTAGCCAGGTGTGGTGGTGCATGCCTGCAGTTCTGGCTACTTGGAAGCCTGAGACAGAAGTATCACCTGAGCCCAGTGGGTCAACACTGGGGTGGTTGTGAGTGTGCCACTGCAGTACAGCCTGGGTGACAGAGTGAGACTCTAATGAAAAAAAAAAAGAAACCTCAGTGGTTGTTCTACTTCCATTGTTTTTCACTGTCTGTGCAGGAATCGGCAATACAATCATTGTTTTTCTAGCAAAACACAATGAACTCCAACCAATGGCCCCAAAAGTAATACGGATGTTTCATATTATATGATTTTATTTTTTTACTTATGAGACAGGTCTGTCTCTGTCACCCAGGCTGGAAATGCAGTGGCACAATCATGGCTCACTGCAGCCTCAAACTCCTGGGCTCAAGCAATCCTCCTGCCTCAGCTGCCCGAGTAGCTGGGACTACAGGCATGTGCAACCATGGGCTAATTTTTTTATTTTTGTAGAGAGGAAGTCTCTCTATGTTTCCCAGGCTGGTCTCGAACTCCTGGACTCAAGCAGTCCTGCCTTTGTTGCAGGAAAACAGAGAGGCTATGACACCAAGGCTATCTTAGGATGTGGCTATTTTAGGATGCAACAGTTTATTAGCACAGGCGTGACAAAACAGGCTAATGCTCCAAGGCTGAGCCCCTGGAGAAAGAGGAGAGGGGTTTATACCTTAGTTTAGGTAAGGGAGGGGGTCTCAGGTTGTATGACTATACATTTTCCTTTGGAATTTGCAAGGTTGTACTTAGCAATACCAGATTTTCAAAGAACAAATGGTCTCCAGGATATGCATAACAAGCAGGGGTTGTAAACCAATAACTTAACAAAGAGAGGATTTGGGTTAAGGTTGTGAATTAGTTACTCTCTTGCATTTCCAGGAAAGTGCCTTGTGGCTATTAAGTTTTCTCAAGCCTCATGTCTATCAGGTTTGGAGTCTGCAGTTTGATCTTTAAAAGGAATAATTTTAACTGTTTTTAGCCCCGCTCTGCCACACCTTGGCCTCCCAAAATTCTGGGATTATAGGCTTAACTACCACACACCCAGACTGATTTTATTTTATAACCTTTATAGTCATCTCTAAGAAGGGTCTTCTTTCATGGACTTTGTTGGTGATATGAAAAAGTTAATTTAGCTGATTCATGATCTACCTTTTCATGTAATTTTTTAAAAGTCTCTTAATTGGCCAGGTACAGTGCCTGTAATCACAGCACTTTGAGAGGTAGGGTCAAGAGGAGTGCCTGAGCCCAGAGATTCCAGACTAGCCTGGACAACTTGGCAAGACTTCATCTCTACAATAAATCAAAAAATTAGCTGGGTGTGGTGGCACATGTCTGTAGTTCCAGCTACTTGGAAGGCTGAGGCAGAAGGATTGCCTGAGCCCAGCAGGTTAATGCTGTGGTGGCTGTGAGCATGCTACTGCACTCCAGCCTGGGCGACAGAGTGAGGCTCTGACTAAGGGAAAAAAAATATCTTAATTGTTTTGCTGGCTCGGCACGGTGGCTCATGCCTGTAATCCTGGTACTTTGTTAGGCCGAGGTGGGAGGATTGCTTGAGCCCAGGAGTTTAAGACCAGCCTGGGCAACATAGCAAGAACTCGTCTCTACCAAAATAAAATAAAATAAAATAAGATAAAATACAAAATCAAAGATGAGGCTTCAGAAATGGCCAGGAGCCAAGGTGGAAATGATTGGCAGGTTTAGAGTTTTATTTTGGATGCATTATGCCTGAGTTGCTTGTATGCTGTCCACACTGAGTAGGCTAGTAAGTAGGTCATTAGGCAGGGCTGTGGTCAGGACTGGAGACAGAAATGTCTGTCACTGCAGTTGCAGGACTGGACGAGAACCCTCAGGAGTGCAAGTCACAGATGGTGCACAGATACCCATTGACTTTGCAGATTTGGAGGGAGTTGATGATTGCTTTTATTTTCTCTGTTAAGTACACGGATAAAGCAGGGTCCCCGGTGGACAATGAGCATGTATTGAAGTTCTGAGGTCTGAGAAGAGTATTCCTTTGAAAAATGGGAAAACAGACTAGAGGGCTTGGAAGGGTGGCTGGGCAATGCAGAGTGCCACTTTGGGACTTGGGGTCATAGGTTTAAGGGGAGACCAGTTGGTGTGATTTTTGGCCCACCTTGAGTGTTCAGGTACAAGGGGTAAAAAGCTTGTCAGGCTTACCCTGCGCTAGAGTTTTGTGTGACAATTAATGGAAGGAGGGAACAAGAGAGCCAAGGGGGCTCACCAATGCATGGGGACACTGAGGGAGGACCCCACATTCTGTGAGTGAGGGGAAGCACAACCAGGTGGGGCCTTGTCAATAAGGACCAAGTCAGTGCGTCCAGAGTCCCTGCAGAGGCCAAAGGATTGTTAGTATGGGCAGGCAGGACAAGTGATCGGAGCCACAGAAGGGCAAGGCCTGGAGCTGAGATTACAGAGAGGGAAGCTCTTGATGCCAACAGGAGAGGGTGGACCAGGTGAGGCAGATGGAACTGAGGTCAGTGGAGAGTGCGTCTTGTCAGAAACCTCTGTGTGGATGTGGCTCTCCACGAGGTGACAGGAGGGGGCAAGAGGCGACAGCAGGAATTGAGAGGACAGTAGAGATGGCAACAGGAGGGTCTTAGTTTGATGGCGTGATCTTCCAAGAAGCGAGGTTTGAAGGGAGGAGCTCTAGAAATGATCTAGAAGACCAAGGGGGCAGACCCTGAGGAACCTTGGGTGTGAAAGGAGGGTCAGCCTCCTTAGACCGGCACTGGTCAGGACAAAGGGGAAAGGACCCTTTGGAGAAGATAGTCCGGGTTCCCGGGACGCTGGGAAAGGGTGTGGGGGATGCAGGTAGGAGAGAAGGGTGAGCAGGCGTTTGTGGTCTCCCCACAGCGGGAGGCGTCTGGGAGGCAGGGGACCGGTCTCTGCCCTCGCCAGCTCGAGGCCTAACAGAGCAATGAAGGAAAGCAGAAGCAGAGCGTTGAGCCGTGCGAGTGTCCTGGGCCCTCCCGGGGATCTGAGATAGACGCTGTGGCTGCCCCGGACACCAGACTGGGGCAGCAGGGCGGGGTGGGCGAAGACGCCCGCGCGCTGCCACCATGCCCCCCGCCCCATCTGCGCTATGACCCGTGCGCCCTTGCAGCCATTTCGCTCCAGGAGCGGGCGGGAGCGCGTTTGTGCAGAGGTGTGGGTGAGACCCCCCAGTCATCTCCCTCCCTGCCCCCGGCCCTGGCCCCGCAGACACCATCCGCAAGATGAAGAACGACTTCCGGAAGATGGAGGACGAGATGGACCGGCTGGCCGCCAACATGGCGG